AGTCTGAATCCCAACTAGACATCTCTTGTCATCAAATGAAGCTAATTGAGTTGTTGACCAAATGGGTTTCATGGAAAATCCCCCCAAAAGTCTAGGAGAGCAAGGCTCCATTGCTAAAGACAACACCCACACAACTCATTGCACATGGAGAAATTGAGTTGGTACCTACATAGAGCCTTCATTGCTCTGAATGATAACAAGAGAAATATAAACACCAAGCCAGCCAAAAACCCTTTTATTACAATGCTGTCCTGCCTGCAGGATTGTCCTACTAGGGCAATGGGTGGCATAAAATTTGTGGGAGGAACTGTCTTAGTTAGGGTTTCTTTTTGTTTGTTTGTTTTTTCTTTTGGTTTTTCCAGACAGACAGGGTTTCTCTGTGGCTTTGGAGGATGTCCTGGAACTAGCTCTTGTTGACCAGGCTGGCCACGAACTGACAGAGATCCGCCTGCCTCTGCCTCTCGAGTGCTGGGATTAAAGGTGTGTGCTACCACCACACGGCTTCCAAGACATCTTTTTAAAGGAAAATATGTCATTGGGACTGGCTTACAGGCTGAGTACTTTAGTCTATTATCATCATGGCTGGAAGCATGGTGTTGGAAAAGAGCCTAGAACTCTACATCTGGATTGGCAGGCAGCAGGAAGATAGAGACATTGAGCTTGGCTTGAGCATTTAAAACTACAAAGCCCATCTCCCAGTAACACACTTCCTCCAACAAGGCCACACTTACCCCAACAAGGCTGAACCTCCTAGTAGTGACACTCCTTTGTGACCAAACATTCAAATATGAGACTATAGGGGCCATTATTATTTAAACCAGCACAGTAATCAACCAATATATGACTGAAGGCCCACTCCACAAGAATGAGCCCATACTCAACACAGTTTGGGTGACCATGAATCTGAGATTAGACAGCACAGGGACCTAGGGTATAAATAACCAAATACTACTGTTCAAACAAATGAACAAACAAAAAACTGTAGCAGTAAAATGACTCCTAATGAAACTCTACTATACTCATAGATCAGTGCCTTGTTCAGCCATCATTAGATAAGCTTCCTCCTGCAGGAGATGGGAACAAATAAGAAACCCACGGCCAGATATTATGCGGTAATCAAAGAACTTGGGAACATTCCACCCTACATGGGATGTCTATCAAATTCTTCCCCTCAGTGCTCATGGACCTTTATGGAAGATGAGGGAAAAAGAGTGTAAGAGTCAGAAAGGTATGGAGAACACCAAGAAAACAGGGTCCTTTAAATCGAATGAACAAAGCTCACATGAACTAAATCATCATTAACAATGCTCACATATGCCAGGCGTTGGTGGCGCATGCCTTAAATCCCAGCACTCGGGGGACAGAGGCAGGTGGATCTGTGAGTTCCAGGCCAGCCTGGTCTACAGAGCAAGTTCCAGGACAGCCTCCAAAACAATACAGAGAAACCCTGTTTTGAAAAACCAAACAAACAAACAAACAAACAAAAAACCCAACCCAAACAAACAAAACAATGCTCATATGAACTCAGCCTGCAGCAGCATATACAAGGCCCGCACAGGTCTGCATCAAACCCTTTGTGTATATATTACGGCTTCCAGTTTAGTGTGTTTATGGGATTACTGAGTGTGGAAATGAGTGAGTCTCAATTTGTGTGCCTTTTCTTGAGCTCTTTACCTTCTGTTTCTTTGTTTCGTCCAATTCCAATGTGCTAGCATTTTGTTTTATTATATATTATTATCCTTTAAAAACCTATTTGTTTTCTTTTTCTTTTTTCTTTTTGGTTTTTCAAGACAGTTCTGGGGTTTCTCTGTGTAACAGCCCAGGCTGCCTTGGAACTTGCTTGTCATGGAACCAGACTAACCTCGAACTCACTGAGATACACCTGCCTCTGCCTCCCAAGTGCTGGTATTAACGTTCATGCAACACCACTGTCCAGTACCTGTTTGTTTTCTAATGAATGACAGAAAAGGATGAATCCAGATGGGAGAGGAGGTGGGGGGTAAGTAGAAGGAGCAGAGGGAGGGGAAACCACAATATATTATGTGAAAAGAATCTATTTTCAATAAAAGGAAAAAAATCTTACCACATGACCCACAAATTTGACTCATATACTCAAGAGAAATGTACACCCGAGGGTGGTGACATACACCTTTAATCCCAGCACTGAGAGGCAGAGGCAGGTGGATCTCTGAGTTCAAGACAAGTCTGGTCTACAGAGTAAGTTCCAAGAAAGCCAGAGCTTCAGAAAGAAACTCTTGTCTCAAAAAGAGAAAAAAGATATATCCAGGGATGCTCTCTCACCCTGAACACATGAGATATGGCCTAGACCCTGCCCTGGATGAAATGACAGACTTTGGAGATCCCCCATGGAGGGCCTCACCCTCCCTGGGGAGCAGAGTGGGGACTGGGGGGGGGCTGGTAGATGGGAGGAGAGCTGGGATTGACATGTGAAGCAAGCTTGTTTCTAATTTAAATAAAAAAAAGAAAATGTGAGTGAGAGAGAAGATGCAAATATATGTTACCACTAAAACTTAGAAATATTCACAATGGCATTATTTATTTTGATCCCAATTGGAAAGAAACAACTCAAATGTTCATATGTTGACTAATGGATAAATAAAACATGGTATGTCAAATACAATGACATGTTACTCAGCAGTAGAAAGGACATTCAGCACTGATCACTGGTGTAAAGCATGAATGGCCCTTGCAAATATCATCTAGAGTGAAAGCAGCCATGCATCATGTTGTAATTCCATTAGCAGTTGCCTAGAGCTGGGGTGTGGCAAAGATTTGGAAAGAAGGAAGATCATATTCCTTTTTGTTGCGATGGCCAAACACTTGACATAAATAGTTTAAGAAAAGATTTAATTTGACTCCTGGTTTCAGAGGGTTCAGTTCATAATGTGTTGGACCTTCGCACTAGGACTGAATGACTGTCAGCTCAGCAAGGGCGGAAAATCAGAGAAAAGCTAGAGGGCAGGGTACCCTCAAGGACCTCCTACCTCTTCCAGCTGGGTCCCTTCATTTAAAGGGTTCCAGAACCTCTGAAACATGTCAGATGTCCACCTACAGATCTTACTTCTGCTTTGATGTGCTGTAATCGCCAATCTCCTGCTCTACCTCTCAGTTGCACAAGCCAAAACTCTATCTCACCTGATTTCTCTTTCACTCCACATTCCACGTGAGTAAAAAACGTATCATTCTACCAGGAAACTCTGTTGACTTTTAAAATATAACCAGAATTTGGTCTCTTCCTGTGACCTTCCTTGTTGCCACCCTGGTGTTAAGTCACCATCGTCTCTCCTTCATGGAGTCAGCAGCATGAACCTCTATATGAAGATTCTGTCTAACAGTGGTGTATTTGGGACTGCTCTTAATGTAGAAATACCCTTTAAAATCTAAAGTGTTCCATGTTACTTTTCTGTTCAAAATCCTGTGCTGATCCATCTAACTTACAGTACGAAGCAAGTATATCCAAACCTCACAGGTTCACCCGATTTACAATTTCCTCATCCTCCCCGGTTCCTGGCTTGAGAATGGTGCTTCTCAGTCCTCACATACTGGAATCCTTCCCAGGACACTCTCACCGTTCATAATTTTGTTCAGACTTCCTCTTCTCAGTGGGGCCTGTTCTGACTACTGTGCTTGGTGCCACAGCCTTCAAGTCTCCAGTTAGATGGTTACCTTCTCCATCTAGGTCACCTACTACCTTATAATTCACACCACACAGATGTTTCCTGTTAGGTTTATTTGCAAGCCCTCCATTAGAATTAGCTCTACAGAGATGGGGAACTTTGCTTCATTCACTGAGTTTCCCAATGGGTAGAAAACCGAGGACCTAGAAAGATTAGACATGGCTCGATGCAGTAAGTCAAAATGTGCCTGAGCAACAGTTTAAGCTCCAGCCCAAATTCTACATTCTTTTCATATAGTGTTTCTACCCAATGGCCAGAAACTAATGAACCCTGAAAGAATTCCAAATGACAGGAGTCATTTGCAGCATCTCTCAGTCATTAGGATCCACCCTTTCCTTTCCTTCCCCCTTCTCAGTTCCAAGAGGTTTTCTTTTTTTTTTTCTTCCATTTCCCACTAAAGAAAGTAACTACTCACTTTGGCTTTTTAGGTCTGCCATAATTGAACCAAAAAACAGCCCCCAGTCTACCTTACAGACTTGTATCCACCATCCTCTTGTGCAAAATCCTCTTGGTGATTTAGCCCACTGGGGGGAGGTGGAAGAGGAGAGAGAGGGAGAGGGGAGGAGAGGGAGAGAGTGGGGGAGGGAGGGAGAGAGAGAGAGAGAGAGAGAGAGAGAGAGAGAGAGAGAGAGAGAGAGAGAGAGAGAGAGAGAGAGTTTTGTCTTTGGACATGGTTTTTCTCCATAGTCCTGGTTGTCTGGGAACTCCCTCTGTAGACCAGGCTGGCCTTGAAATCAGAGATCCACCTGCTTCTGCCTCTCTAGCGCTGCGATTAAGGCATGAGTCACTACACCTGGCTTTAAAGATCTATTTTCAAGTGTTTTGGCAGTTGTGAGCCATTATGCGGATTCTGGGAACCCAACCTAGGTTCTCCACAAGAGCAGCAAGTGCTCTTAACTACTGAGCCCACTGCTCCATCCCTAACTAGAAATTCTAATTGGAAGTTGAATGCTTCTCAAAAACATCCCTAGAATACCCTTAGAAGCTGGGTAATCCTTCAGTTCTGCTCTGACTTCATGCAGTAGGCTTAGCTTTATTTACATTTATTTGGGGCCCGGTTTCACTAAGTAGCCCTGGCCTTCCTGGAACTTGCTAGGTACTCCAGGCTGACCTCGAACTCAAAGAGATATGCCTGCCCCAATGCTGGAATCCTAAAGGCATGAGCCACCATGGCTGGCCATGCTTAGCTTTAGCAGTTTATTTTAGAATACTCTGCCCCAGAAGCTTGCCTGTCACAGCACAAGAGCACTGTGTGTTTCTCTCATGCCCTCCAAGAAGTCGTCAGAATTTTCCAAAGGTTACCTCTTCTTCGAAGAACTCTTCCTGACCTCCATCGTGTCCTCCACTCCAACTATCCTGTCATTCTACAGGACCACAGAAAGCAGCCCAAACTGCACATGCTCAGATGCATCCCAATCGATCCTCAGCCTGTGAGCTACTGTAAAAGTAGGGCAGAAATTTGAGGAAAATAGGTAAGGGGGTAATGACCAAAATAAAAATTTTAAAACACCGAAATTAACCCACAGCCTCATGCTTAGCAAAACAGGAGAATTTCAAAATAAAGACAGGATTCTTGGCACTCCTGCTTGGGCTAGGGAATTCCAGGAGAGCTGCTGTCAACATCACACTTGCTCCACTAGACCCACAAGCCGGTGGGGGGGGGGGGCAGCTGAGCCTGGATCCACGCTTCCGCAAGATAGGGGTCCAGTGGGCTTCTGGAGCCCGTGTGTGCAGGTGCATACTGCACAAGACAACACAACGGACGCCACCAGTGTCGCTCTCTGTACGCCACGGCTCAGGGCAGGGCAGAGTTCAGACCTTGGACTTTACTCTGGCCCACCAGGTCTCCTTGGGGCCGGAGCAATAGAAGCTCAAGATTTCCTCTCACACTAAGGTGAACACGCCAGTTCAGTCGTGGGTAGCAGACTCCGGATTACGTCCGGACCCCAGGACTGCGAGGGACCCTCCCACCCCACCGCGCCAACCGGGAAAACAAACCCAGCTCTCTGACACCCCAGGAGTCAGGGGCGTGGCCAAGCAAAGAACAGCGCCCCTGTGGCACGCCCCTCCGGTGCCTTGGCCAATAGTCGTCCTCTCCGAGCCTCAGCCCCGCCCCCACACCGCGGCCCCGCCCGGGCCAGTCATAATTAGGCAGCGGGCTGGGGCTGCCGCGTCAGCGCGCGTAGCGAGCCAATCGCGGGCGCTCCCCGGAGGTCGCGTCACAGGCCGAGCAGCCAAACAGAAAAGTTTAATAAACAGCGGACGGAGGGCCGGCGGCGGCGGGCCGGAGCGAGTGGGGTATCGGCGGCCTCACCTGTCCTCACTCAGCGGCGGCGAGAGGCGGCGGCGGCGGCGGCGGCGGCAGCGCGTCCGGCGGAGAGGGCCGCCGCCAGGTGAGGGGCGCGGGCAGCGGCGGGCGCAGCCTCCGGGTGGCTTGGGAGCCGGAAGCGGCGGGCGGCGCAGCAGGTGGCCTCGCGGCGGCGAGCGGAGGGCGCGGTCCCGGCGGGGCGCGGTCCCGGGGTCCCCGGGCGCGCGCTGGGGTCGTGGTGGGCGCGCCTGGGGCCGGTTCGGAGCAGCTGCGGCCGGCCGAGCTGTGTCCCCCGGGTCCCTTTTGTCGGCTGAGGCTGGGGAAGACTCAGAAGGAGTCTCGTTGATTCCAGTCTCTCTGCTCCTCGGTGAGCGTTTTCAAGTTTCTCACTGTTTGATGCGTAAACAAGCTTCGCGGTGTGTGACCTCTGAAGTCAATTTAACTCTCTTAAAGCTCTGTGATTTGCCGTCATCATCCCGTTTGTCACCCGTGTGAGGGAGTTGGGGCCTTGGGGTCACCTCCAAGCCGTGCATGCTCAGTCGTCAGCACCTGGTGGCTCTGGAAAAAAAAAAAAAAAAGAAATTAAACGTCACTTGGAAATTAGATTAGAAATTTATCTTTTTTACTAATATAAAATGCCACGTAGGCTTTTGAGATTATGTATTATTTTATAGCAATTGGTGTTTTATGTATTGTCTCCAGGCCTACTGGGGCAATTTTCTGATAAGCCATGAATATTCAGATGTACAAAACAGGTTGTCTTAATTTTCTTCTAAAAAGATGTAAGAGGGGTAAGAAGCACCGACAGGAGAAGTTCAGGTTAGGTGTATTATTTTGAGTGCAGCCATACTTTCCTGCATTAAGTCAAAACTCACTGGATTTTAAATCTGTACAGTTTATGATATGTGAGTTATATCGCAAAGTTTTAAAAGTAATGGTTGATGGCCAGGGGTGTACATAATATAATGTACTATAAAAAGGGAAAACAATAAAAATTCCAGACTCTTCACCCCAAAGCAAGAACTAGAACATTATCCAAACTTGTATGTACTCATGAGTTTCTTATCTGGCCTTCTCCAGTTTACTGTTTCTGACTGAGGTAAACATTCTAGACTTGTGGATTTTGTTTTTCATTCTCTGGCCTTTTAAAAATAGTTTTGTCACATACTCGTCTCTTCAAACCTTGTCTTTTAGGGTCCTCTTCCTTTGAACTTTTGACAGATAGTATATGGTTGTGGTTCATACATTTCGTTGCTTTTTAATGATGCGTTCATCTCTTAACCCCAGTGTTGTGATAGTGTTTCTTGTTTTGCTTCTAACAAATGTACTCTGCGAACTTTTCTTGCAGCTGTAGTTGCACAAGTTGTCTGTCTAAAGTAAATACTGTAGATCCTAGGAGAAAGTTTTAGGCAATCAGGATTAAAATAGAAATAAAGTGAGTGAAAACGCCAAGATTCTGCTTCCTTAATCAGGAAGACTCATTGTCCTTGAGGTCAGTTCCTAGTTGTTGTATTTGCATGAGGAACTAAGATCCTTGTTGATCTCTTTACACTGAATCCCTTCAAACAGATTGTGGAAAATCTGGCACTGTTTGGTACCCTTTGAGTGCAAAACTAGCAAGTTGGAGAAAACTCTTGTTTTGTAAAGCCACCCTTTTTGTTCTCCACCACTCCTCCCCTCCTCGAAGCCTTTGGCAGAATATTTATTGAGGAATCTTCGTTGCCTTAAAACACTCTTGCAAAAGAAACTTGTACTAAGCTTTCTCTACCTAGTTGGCACAGGCTTTGGTAAAGGGGAGTATGAGCCAGAGGGCAAAGCCTTAAAGGGAAACATGGGACCCCCGTGTTACTCCACAGCTTTTGAGAAGGATCTGTGCTTGTTGTGGTAGGTATTTTAAGACTTGTCAGCCACACACTGAAGTGTTTTTTAGGTTAAAGAATGCTCTAGGGTGTACTCTAGACAAATTACGGAGCAGTATTTCCTGAATTTCTCAGATTGTGTGTGTGTATAAGTAATATGACTGTGTAGCTTTAAATGACTTGTTTTGTTGAAGGCAGAAGAGAAGAGCTTTTTATTTTTTATTTCTTATTTTTTTAGACAGGGTCTCACTGTGTAGCCTAGAACTCTTTATGTTGACCAGGCTGGCCAGGAACTTATACAGATTCCCCCAATCACTGCCTCCAGTGCTAATATTAAAGGCATATGCTACCACATGTGGTTGAGAGGAGCAGTTTTAATGTTTATAGCTTGCAAATGTTTTTATAGGATAATAGACTCTGCTTTTAAAATACAGTTTTGTATTTCATTATAATATTAGTGGCAGAGAGTTTGGGGATTTCCCTCACAACTTGAAATGAATAGGAAGGCAGAAAATTACTCACAGATAAGAATTGTTAATTAACATTTTTGTCAAGCATACCTTTAGTCTTTGTGTGTATTTTGTATCTCCTAAGTTATCACATGTTTCTTTAGAGTTCAGTCTTGGTACAGATGCTGTGAAAGCATGTGAACATTTTCAAGTCTTTATAACTATTGCCAAATCTTTCTTAAAAATTTTATGTCTCAACTTCTTTGTTTTCTAGAAGGTGATAACAGTAGTCATCTAATTGTTACCCTTCTTTCAGGTTTGATCCCTACAGTCTGCTCTGGCTGTGCCAGTGGCAAGAGGCCATTTAAATATGTGTATTGTATTTAAAAAATTATGTGTTGGGCGTGTGTGAGAGGTGAGTGTGAGTGGAAGCATGTGAGTGTGGAGGTCGGGGTGGATTTGTTCTCCCCTTTCATGTTTACATGGGTTCTTGGGATCAAACTCAGGTCATCAGGCTTGCACAGCAAGAACTTTTACCCATTTGAGCCATCTTGCCAGCCCTGAATGTGTTTATAGATTATGGTACTCTCAGGCTCAAAGTCCTTCAATGACTTTTCAATTCATGAGATAAAATTCAGACACAGTGTTACTGTGGTTTATATAACCCACACTGGTTGTGTCAATAGAAATACAATGCAAATTGCAAATCAGAACCATGTTAAGTAATTTAAACTTTTCTTATAGCCATATAACAAGAGAAAGACTATAATTAAAATGTGTGTGTATATATATACATATATATAATTTTAGATTAAATAAAAAATATTTCACAAACTGGGTGGTTGGCACATGTCTTTAATCCCAGAACTAGGGAGACAGAGGTAGGCAGATCTCTGAATCCAAGGCCAGCCTGGTCTACAAAGGGAGTTCCAGGGCAGCCAGGGCTACAGAGAAACCCTGTCAAAAAAAAACAAACAAACAAAAACCAGTGCTTTCAATATGTGATGAATGTGAATGCGAGAGAGTATTTGTAGGATATTTTGTGCTTTTGGAGATGATGCACACTATCCACTTGTACTGTGTCCTAATTCAGGTTGGCCATGATTCAGTGTTTATACTTGTAAGATCTTTATTATTGAGCCTTTTATCTATCTAGGATAGCAGCCTTTTGCTCTGTATTGCAAATATTTTTCCTGGCTCTTCATTTATCTTGTATTTACTTACAGGCCTTCCTCATTTTTCTTCCTCCCTATCCTGTTTCCTTCGTTGGATTTTTAAAATATCTTCGTTAATACTTACCGCTTAAAAATGTATTTTGTTTGAAAAAAAATTTTTGTGTGTCTGTGTGAGTGCATCACTGAGCACTGGTCCCTTGGGAGTTCAGGATGGGTGTTGGATCCCCTGCAACTGGAGTCACAGTGGGTTGTAAGCTGTCTGAGTTTTGGGATCCAAACTCTGGTCCTCTGAAAGAACAGTAATCAGTCTTAGTCACTGATCCGTGTTTCTAGCCCAATACTTAACATTAAAAAATATATACTATTGTGTGTATGATGCAGGTAGTAGGTGTATGCATGGAACAAAACATGTATGGAAGTCAGAATATGACTTTGGATTTGCGGGATCAAACTTAGGCTATAAGACTTATATAAATAAATAGTCTTCCCACTGAGCCATCTTGACAGCGCAACAGTTAAATTTTTATGACTTGACTTTGTTTTTATATTTAAAGTAGTCTCCTTCTGAGATAGCTTTTAATTCTTTCCTAATATTTATTATTATTGTTTTTAATTATGGGGGGAGTGTGTACATGAGTGTGTAGGTGTCATTGGAGGCCAGAGGCATTGCATTCTCCTGGAGGAACCAGAGTTACAGTTGGATGCTGAAAAAAATGAACTTAGATCATCTCTAAGAGCCATACTGACTCTTAATTTCACAGTCATCACTCTGGTATCTCTTTTAGTTCTTTAAAGTTTCATTTTTTTCAGATCCATATTTCTGTGTTCCTCTGAGATGTGTTTTTACATAAATGTAAATTAAAATAACTACATGACTGGCCAGTTGATAGTATTCTGTCAAAAATACGACTGTGGGGTCAGGCTATTAGAAGTCTGGTGACGTCAATTCATCATCAGTTCCCATGCGAAGATAGAAGGAAAGAACTGATGCCACAGAGTTGTGCTCTGACCCCCAGGCATACCATTCTGACACATGCGCCCTCCTCCCTCACCTCATCTTGCAAACCTTTGCATTTGCACACAAACACTAAATAAATTTACATTTACCTAAAACCCGCTTGTGTTCTCCATAATAAAATACCTTTATTTCCATGCTAAAATCAATATGTACTCTCAGACCCTGGGCCTGACTCAATGGACAAATGCTTTCTGTAGGCTTGCATTGAGTCCTGCTTACATACATGTTTAGAAAGTTCTAGTGGTTGTTTTTCTTCCTTTCAACACTGAGCACCTGATTCATACCAGCCTCTGTGTTAAGTGTTGAGGGTACAATTATAACCAAGCTGTAGTCCTTGCTTTCATGGAGTTTGTAAGTATAAGAAAGGGAGGCAACT